GCTCTCTCTCTCTCTCTCTTTCTCTCTCTCTCTCTCTCTTTCCCCACAATCATTTCACAGCGAGGCAGGGAGCGACAACATGAGACGCTTTTAACTCGACACAACTCGAGGGAAAAACTGGAAACGACCTGAATTTAACTTYCCGCACCGAGGCGTTGTGATGAGCGCGTGAGCTGGTGAGCGCCTCTTATCCTTTTCATTTATWTATTTATTTTTACTGAGACRGAAAACACCTGAAAACCAGGATAAACTTCATGTCTTGTAACATTTAAGACTGAATTGTGTCATAGTACTATTTGAACTTTTTTTTAAGTGGAGCTTTGAGAGTAAAGTTGTTTTGTTGCGCTTTTGCTTCGCCATGAGAGAGGAATTTTTGGCGCAGGTTTTTTTTTTTTTTTCCTGTGTTGCCTGCTGTGAAAATAGTGTCCACATCGCGTTGTTGTCGCTGTTTGTACAGTAAAGTCATGGCTACACGTTTCTGTGTAAAGGTATGAGGGTTTCTTGTTGAAATATTATTGTATTTGCTTCAAGAACAGCTAAACAGACAGTTTTATTATTAATATGAGTTTGCTGCCTCATCTGATTTCCTGTGTTTTTGACTTCCAGGTTCACAGCTGCTTTATTTCATCCTTTTCACATTGAGAAGAAGAACTTGAACTATAATCGGAGAGAAAACTTTGTTCACACTGTACTATGTCGTCCACTGAGGAGCCGTCCGGCACGGTCCTGCACCGCCTCATCCAGGAGCAGCTCCGCTACGGAAACCCCACGGACACCCGCACCTTGTTAGCCATCCAGCAGCAGGCTCTGCGCGGAGGCAGCGGAAGCAACAGCGGACCCAGCAGCGGCGGTGAAATGAGCAGGAGCCCACGGTCCTCGCTGGAGAGCCTGACCCAAGAGGACCCGGCGCTCCCTCAGCTCTCGGCGAGGCAGGAGCCTCAGGGCCAGGAGCACCAGGGAGACTACCACCACTCGGAGAGCAGCTACCAGCCGCACGGAGAGAAGCTGCCGACCTACGAGCAGGCCAAGGCGCACTCCCAGTACTTGTCGTCCAACTGGGCCCACGGGCAGTTCCTCGTGCGCGACGGGACCTTCCACCAGGAAGCGGGTCTGCTGGAGCAGAGGTGCAGCCACGTGCGCTCCCTCAGCGAGCACCTCCTGCAGGTCTCTCTGGACCGGAGAGATGCGGCGGCTAAAGCCGAAGCCATCAAAGCCAACTCTCACAGCTACCCGGAGCTTCCTTACTACCCGCCGCAGTACATCCAGAGCACAGGGCAGAGCGTGGACAAACGCAGCCCGCCCCCGGAGTACACCGMCCCCATCCAGGGCCAGGGATTTATCCAGGAACCAGCGCAGCCTCAGCAGCACAGGTAGAGGCGACGAGCTCAGGCTTACATCATCCCACATCCGCGTTTTGAGTTTTTGTGTCCTTCTCAAAACTCCTCTAAACATGACATCATACTCTTTGGTATTATTTTTTTACGAGCCCGCCCAATCCTCGCCTTTTGTCTTTCACACGCGTAAATACATACTTATGGATGTGAGTCACGCCRCAGCTTCACATCGCATTTCGACATAGTTACAGAGGAACAAGTCCAGCCCTGTAGATGTTTGTAATATTTGGCATTCAGCAGCAGAATATTCACAGAAGTAGACAAACTATGATTCGCATCTCAGGCTTTTACATTCTTAACATTTGCTGGAGCTTATCTGTCAGCTGCTGACGGAAAACTATTTATATGTTTGATCGTCAGCTCAAGATAAAACCCTTTTTTAATCAGGCTAGATGTCTACCCATGAAGCTCAAGTGGTCTCTGCTTACACTACAATGTCTCTCTCATAGGTATGTTCAGACTGCTCAGACAGCAGAAGCCCCCAGCTACAACACGTTTAACAGCCTGCCCCCTGCTGGCTTGGAGGAGCCCAACCAGGTGGAGCTGCTGATGATGGAAAACGAGAGGCTGAGGCAGGAGCTGGAAGCTCACAGGGAGAAGACGGGCCGCATTCAGAAGGTAAGACGCCGACGACTCTCTCAGGTCGCGACAAAGTCACGAAAACACTGAATGCGTTCCAGGGTACAGTGCATCCCAAAACGAACCCCCGAGTTTAAAAGCAACTTGCTCGGGCGAACATTCCTCCATGCCGCCAGCTGCCCGTGAAACACAACGCGGGTCGACAGTTGCCTCCCTGGTATCCAGCTAGAGACACACCCCTCCGTTGGGCCCGACGTACGAGGTCGGCAGCTGCCACCTTTTCTTAAACTGCGGTCGCCGCCTGCTACTGCGTCTACACGCTCCCTTCACTGTGTGGCTGACACAGCGGAGGCCGGTGTGTGCGAGAATTCCTGAGAGGCCGCAGAGTTTCAGAGTAAACCAGGCTTCAGTTTTACGTTTGGTTGAGGTTTGACCCCACTAGGCGTTTAGAACAGAATCTAAATCAAGCATTTGGTGTAGAGAAGAGAAAAGTTGTTTTACACAACTTTTTTTTATGGTCTATGCCCAGCGTGGAAACAGACTCAGCGACACTCGACACCTTATTTATTTTTTTCTTTTGTAAAATCAACTCCACTCTCCGCTGTAGTTATGTCACATGGCTCTCCTTGTCTCAGCCCAAAAGAATGATAATTGCCAGGGTTGGAAAGTTTTCCCCGTCGGGCCGCGGCCCTGAGTAAACATGCCTGAGTGACTGCTGTAATGGCGGGTGTCTCTTTACTGTTTCCACAACCCAGGTTCGGGCATGTACACCTTTCCTCCGCTGGCGTCCTTCCCAAATCTTTTTTATGTGTGTGTGTAAGTGTGTAAAAGAGACGGGCTTTGTTTATGAGCTCCAACTAACAGTGTGTTGTATACACACACACACAAACACACACACACACACACACCTGGAAATGTGACTATCAGCTCTCAGGAATGCAGATATAAATCAGCCTCACAGGGAGTGGTGCAGGCTTGATTTCCTTCTCAGAATTAAACCGCACACACATTCATACGCTTGTGTAGACTTCAGGAAACATCACACACTGGCTTGGATTCATTTTGCGGAGAAGCTTCTTCTAAACTTAACTCTTACTCTAAGTCAAAATGAAAAAATAAGTAGGTCCTCTGGATGGGTTCTTCTTTAGTGAAACGTTTCATCTCTCCTCCAAGAGACTTCTTCAGTCTGATGAGTTTCAGGTGAACTCAGCCTTATAAGCACTGCCTCCACATGATGGACAAACAGGTTAGTCACATGCAAAAGAGGACCATCACCTAACAATAGGCTTGATTAACTCTATTGTTCATAGAGGGTCATGTGCCCCATCACCTGACTTATTGGTTTGGATGCTTCGGCTGTGGTTAAATGGTGTCGTGTTGTGTGTGTGTAGTGAGTGCAAGCGGGGTTCAACGTCCCCTTTTCAATCAAGCCTATTGTTAGGCAATGGTCCTCTTTTGCATGTGACTAACCTGTTTGTCCAGGTGGAGGCAGTGCTTATAAGGCTGAGTTCACCTGAAACTCATCAGACTGAAGAAGTCTCTTGGAGGACAGACAAAACGTTTCACTAAAGAAGAACCCATCCAGAGGACCTACTTATTTTTTCTTTTTGATTTTTTTCTACCTGGATTACTGAGATGCATCAGGACATCTTACTCTAAGTCATCGGAGTAATACTTGTACCCCACACTTACAGCTTTATAGAAAGTAAAAACATGAATTAACATTCCAGCTTTTCTTTGGCGAGTGATGTGGGCTAACCCCAAACTCCTTTTTTTCCTCTTCTTTTCTTTCCCCAACCCTTCCCCTCCCTCCTCCACTTTCAGCTGGAGCAGGAGATCCAGCGCATTTCCGAGGCCTACAAGACACTGATGCAGGGCAGCAGTAAGAGGGAAAACCTGGAGCAGACCCTGAGGAGGCGGTTAGTGGCGGAAATCAGGAGGCTGCAGGATTTCAACAGAGACCTCAGAGGTATAAAACACCCCCACGGCGACACAAAGAGACAAAATGCGGCAACGCCAGATTCCCAACAGATTTACAAGCGTCGCCGTTTTAACCTCAAAAATGTTTGTCGCATTCCAGAAAACCTGGACAGTGCCAGGACCCACGTTGCAAAAGAAGTAAAGGCAGCCGACCATAATCAACACATCATGGCGAAACTCCTTGAACAAAGTGAGTATTTCCCCTTGCTGGGCAGTTTTTCATCTCCTCTTGAGTCATTATGCATAGTTCCAGCTAAGCATGGGGCCCTTTTTTGGATCTTAAGTGTTTTTTTTTTTGTTTTTTTTTTTTTTATTGCATGCAGGAGTTTCACTTGCATAAGCACATACATGAAATACAAAAACTCAAAGAAAATATATTTATATTTAGGAAACTTGGCATAAAACACATGATTTTACCCATTATGTCACATAATTGGCATATTTTCTTTTGAATTTTGCTCAGCTAACGTGACAAAGGAAGTGACATCAGAGGGGAACTCTTTGAGAAAGAAAACTCCCTGGTTTCAGTTTATTTAAACAGTATCATTTGAATGATGACTCTTTCTCATCTCTCTATGACAGTGATTAAAATTAATCTAAAGAAACATCAGATTCTTCTCTACGGTCTGTGCTGTTAGCCATTTTAGCCACGCTCTGTTCGCATGCAGACATTCCCCTTTGACATCACTTCCTGTTGTTTCACGGGCAAATATCTCAACAACTGCTTATCTCAGCGGCGTGAAATGTTATCAGTGTCATCCTTCCAAAAATACATTCAGTTTTGTTACAAAAATTTGATGTCACAGGCACTTTAAGAACAGGGAATTGAAACCGTGCAACTTTTGCAAAAGGAAATGAAGCGTTTCTTAATCAGAGGGCAAACGTGGAAGTGGTAGGAATGAGCCCCCCCCCCCCCCCCCAACCCCACCTGTTGTGAGTGTGATTTATGGTGTCTGTTTGAGGAACAGGACTCAAGCAGAGCTGGTGTTTGTACGGCCTTGATGAGGAATGCTCGGAGCTATGTGGGTCAAAGGGATGGGGCAGCTCTCTTTTCCCCCCTTTCTCCTTGTTCTTCCACTCAGCATACCAGGAGCGCTTTGCTAAATGGAAAACACCGGGCGCTGCCGTGTAGCAACTCTAGTTCTTATTACATGCCTTCGAAACAGATTGGAGCTGTTCCACGCGACCGATTGCACGACGCCGAACCGCACGGTGCGTACATGTACACCCGCTCTGACCTTTCCGCTTTTCACGTTTTCCCTTTCAGACGAGGAGCAGAACTACGAGCGGGAGCGCGCCGAGCGGGAGCTGCAGCGCCTGCGAGCGACCGCGGAGGAGCAGAGCCTCAAGGCGAAGCGGCTCGAGGAGGCCCTGGAGGCGGCTYGGGGCCGCGGCCGCCAGCTCGAGGAGGAGCTGCGGAGGAAGCGGGCGTACGTGGAGAAGGTGGAGAGGCTCCAGAGCGCTCTGGCTCAGCTGCAGTCCACCTGCGAGAAGAGGGAGAGCCTGGAGATGAAGCTGAGAACAAGGCTTGAGCAGGAGCTGAAGAGCCTGAGGGCACAGCAGGTAAAAAAAAAAAAAAAAACTAACCCGTCACAGCTATGATCTGTTATGTAATGTAGCAGTAGGTTAAATTACAAATATTTCCTTCATTCGCTTCAGAGGCAGTCCCAGCCGCCGGGATTGACTGTGAACTCGCTCCAGGAGCGGCTACGTGAGCGCGAGGAGCGAATCCTGGCCCTGGAAGCTGACATGGTGCGCTGGGAGCAGAAGTACCTAGAGGAGAGCACCATGAGGCAGTTCGCCATGGAGGTGGCTGCCACCGCTGCTGCTCAGAGGTACCTTTCGTCTTCAGATTTATTTTGCATTTTGACTGCACACACGATCCAGTTGGTTACATTTTTTTAAAAAACGTATATTTCTTTTCCAGGGACACCACCATCATTAACCACTCACCCTGCCACTCCTCCAACAACAGCTTCAATGAAGACCTGCCCGTCGCCGACTTCAGGAACCAGGAGATGGAGAATAGGTGCGCATGTTTGATGTTTTTTACCGCTACAGAATTAAATGTTTTCTTATCGATTTAACACGTTTTACTTTTCTCCTCTAAAGGATCCGTGCTCTTTACGCTCAAATCTTGGAAAAAGATGCCGTGATCAAGATCCTCAACCAGAGGCTGCATCAGGATCAACACCCGAAGGATGAGCAGAGCCGCCGAACAAACCTCATAAACACAGGAGGGGCTCCTCTCCGGCCGGCCTCCTCCACTCCCTCCATCTGCACCTACAGCACGACAAGTAGAGGTTAGCATTACTGTGTTTAACCTAGCTAATTCATTAACTGGGGCGTGTTGTAGGAGATGCTCAGATGACGCAACAGCGAGTTAACGACATTTTCTATTTTTGTTTTTTTTTTTTTCAGGCAAAAATCTGTCAGACGATCAAACTGTCTGTCAGTTCTCTGCTCAGTCTGAACCTTCCACGCTGGAACGACAGCTGGAGGGAACCAAATCCAAAGAGACCACCAGCACAGCTAAGCTAAACGACGGTGAGTTACGCATGAGCGCTCTCTTTAAAAATTAAACGCCCTACATGTTCACACAGCACAGAGAATCAGAAAAAAAAATGGCACAATCTCTCAAATTTGCGTGCGTCCTGTAAGCTTTGACCTGGTGGATCCTCACACTGATTAACCACCAATCAGCTGGTCGTAGCGACCCTGTCCAGCTCCTGGTTTATAATGGCCGCCCCGTGGAATGTGCTCAGTTAGGAAGTAACGTGATTCTGTTGACTGAGCACATTCACCAGCGTGGTCTGTGTGTCAGTGGAAAATGTCAATTAACCCTTAGTCACTTGTGTTTTGAGCTCACTCCTTCAGCCTCAACACATTGAAATAATTTCCCGTATTCTTTTTTTTTTTGTAAATCTTCAGACAAAACAGCAACTAAAAAGATGCTGTTAAATCCCGTCCGAGGCCTGGATGATCTGGAGCCAGAAGCAGTGGAAATCTTCATTTAAAGAACCCGGGAGACTGATTCGGAGCGAGGCGGGAAATCAAATCTGTGAAGACTGCAAGAATAAAGACAAATGACTGGACCCAAGAATGTAAAAAAAAAGGAGAGTTACTTTAAAAAAAAGGACTGTTTCACATTTTAGTGACAAGAGCTTCTTCTCACTGAGCTTGGACGACTGCAGGCGGTTCTGCCCGGCCCAGTGAGAGAACATGAATCTTCTGGAGGTACTTGTTGGACAGTATTGTGGATTCTAATACATATTCTCACAGAGTATATGCCAAAATATTTATATAAATCTATTTCTACTTACTTATACATAAAGAAATGCTGCTTCCCCTTTTATTACCCCTTTATTTTTCTCCCAGTTAAAAAAAATCTGCATCTAATCTGGTTTCCACATTCCCTAAATATGTAACTGAAGACTTGTGCTCATCTAGATAAATATTAAGGGTTAGCTATGTGACCTGCATTCCCCTCCTTAAAAAAATGTGGATTTAATCTTGAATAATCTCATTCCCATCACAGATGATATCTTTTTGGAGGACTGCCCAGACTTTTTAATAATTTAAACTGAAAACAAGATTTAAAGCTCTCCCTGGTCACGTTTCTTCAGCCTGAGGAGCTGGTTCTTCTCAGGGTTTTGAGAAACACGACCAGCGAGCTGCTTAATATATGATTTTATTATTTTTATTTTGTAAGTGTAGTTTTGGGATGTAGACTTGTGGTGTTGTTGTTTTTTTCCTCTCCAAGTATGCTTGCATGTGTGATAGTGCGTGTGTGTGTCCTGATGCGGTGATTCTGCTGGTTTGGTCACCACTGACAGGCAACAAGGTGTTTGGTCTTTTTTTGTTTACTGTGAGCTTTGAACTAACAAAACAGGTTAATTAATAATATTATTATTATATATTTTATACAGAAATGGTTATTTTTAGATACGGTAGTGCTTTCCGGAGGACGCCAAAGAGTTTGTGAATGTTATTTGTAAGTTATGTGCCGACAATCTTGTCAAGCTGGACACAACTTAAAAAGTGTGTCGAACTCAAACACACATTTCTGTGAACGGAGCAGTGTGAAAAGTTTTCACAGGTGAATTCATGCAACATTTCTTAAAATAATAAAAATGGTTTAATATACATTAATGAACTGGTGAGTTATTGCTTTTTTATTACAAGGTGGAAGAACTAAAACTTAGTGGGCAGGGCTGGCCTGTGGCATAGGCAGTATAGGCAAATGCTAAAGGCGAAATCCACCCAGGCGGCGCCACAAATGGGAGGTGAAAAACAAAATAAATAACTATCAGAGTATAGTTGATTTAACCTGTAGAATATTCCATGATTACACAGATTTTATGAAAATAACTGGATTTCTCAGCCTGCTTTGTTACTACATGAGGTTATATGGTGCAGAGGATATTTCTTAATAAAAGTATCATATGATGCAGTCAAGACTAACTACTGGTGCTCAGTGTGTAAATAGAAAAAATAATGGAAGTTTCAGAAATGATCTCATAAAATTCAGGTTAAAGTCTGATTTTCAGTGTTCTACCATCATAAAATACAGATTTTATGTTGTTTTATTAATCCCAATAATTTAGTAAAATGCTCTTCAAACATCTGGATAATGCATAGTTTTCAGTAGATCTTTCACAAAATCTTAAAAGGGAGTGTACCCCTGACCCCCCCTACAACTGCTTCACTCCACAACTGCTCATTAATGTGAACAGGTGTTTCTCATTGTTGTCAGCAAATGATGACAGGTATGAGGTAAACGTCTGGTATTCTGTTTTAAATTAATTATATTGTTTATTATTTTAATTTGGACAATCTGGTTTCTAAAGATAAAAATAATATTGACAAAACTAATTTGGTACTTGAATGTATGCAAATTAGCAGTGAGATTTAGAGAACTGCACAAGCGGCACCATCTGAAATCTTGCCTAGGACACCAAACTGGCTAGGGACGGCCCTGTATGTTGGTCAAAATTAAACTCCGAACACCGTTTAGGTGTTGAAAAGTATTTTTTTTAATTTAGAAGGACTACTTATTTTTTTCTCTTCCACCCCTTCTGTATAGCTGTCATCCAATCTTCTCATTCCTGCCCTCTTGTTCCAGCACAGAAACAAGCTCTCTTCATTAATGAATACCAGAGCCGCATTCTTTCAGGTTCAACTTTCTCGGGTGGCCTGCTCTCTTGTTCTCCTCTTGCCACGAAGAGCGCGCTTTCCACATAGATCACATTCTCTGAGGGACACGCAACCCTGCATGTGACAAAGGCAGGTTTTTCTAAGATTAGTCGCTAACGCCATTCGAAAATTCCTGGCCACCTTTCGCTAACACGGTGCATTCCTGACTCCCTTTTATTGCCTTCGATTCAGCCCCCACCCGAAGGTATTTATGAACTGTTATCGGACATGCCACTGGATATGATGAGGGGAGCGTAGATCTCTCTGATCCACACGTAACAACAGAGCCACAGATATTGACCCGAAACTAGTTTGAAGCGGCTGAGCAGCATGGACGGTGAGGCTTCAAAGCATAGTGCAACAAAGAGAATGACAAGGACAATAGATGTTATGGTTTCATCGGTTAAAAACATCTTAGCTCAAATGTAGGTTCTCAAATTACCTTTGTAGCATGGCAGGAAGTTAATTGTACGGCTAAAATTTGTGTCATAGATTATATTATGACCTTTACATTCAGTTATTCAAGGATTTTATGAATAGAACCATATGAGGAGGCCCAAAAGACCACACCCATTGACACTAAAAGTCAGAAATATATCTGATTTGTGTGTTTTTTTTTAAAGATGAATAAAATGAAGAAGCTGACACACTAAGTTGGTTCTTTTAATTTGTGCTGGTCACTAGTAAACAATCTTTTCTGACTTATAGGTTTTTGAGCTGTTTTGGTTTGTTGTCAGCTTAATATCGTGTTTTTTCATCACCAAAAGGAAAAGTTGGATGATAATGTTTTTATTATATGATCATTTTAGTGTGTGTCTGTTAACAAAATACTGACACTGCATTGAATCAAAGTATGCATTAGATGTGCATCTACAACTCATTATCCTTTGGAAACAATCTGATTCAAGATGGCCGCCGCAGCCAGCTGACCTTAGAAAATACAGGAGTTCAAATCAATTTTCACATATACTGAGCTAAAATTTGGTGCGCTAGAAGCTGAAAAAGATTCCCAACCAACACATACTATGTGGGCTAACAAATCGGGTTTAAAATTTTGCCATGGACTACTTGGACTCAACTCTGTCTGTCTGTTAGCAAAATATATCAGAAACCACAGAACAAATTTTAATGAAACTTTCAGAAAATTATCATTGAAGATCAGCGATATAATAAGAGTCAGCACAGAGATGGGCAACTGGTGGCCCGCGGGCCAGATGACATGACATCCATCTGGCCTGCCACTGAGGTGTTTCCCTACACACAAAATGTATTTTTTAAGGAAAAACAAACAATAATAATAATTTTGGGGGGTTATGTAGACTATATGTTCACATACTGTATTTATTTATGTAAAATATGATAATTTTTTAAGCTTAAAAAGCATTAAAAATGTAATCATCAATAAGCAGTGAATAATACCACCCCCTACTTTATGGATGATTTTTAGGGTTAATTTTCTAGTATTATACATGAATAAATACAGCAATTGCCATAAACACATTTGACCATGAAATATGTTAAGTTACCAAACTGTATGTTGGTTAAACAGACATATATTTATATACAAAAAAATTAGAAAATGGGAGATTTATTCCATTTGTGCCATGCTATGTGACCCTCTGCTAGCGCCAACAAAACATGGTGTCCCCTTCCATCATTTAGGTTGCCTATTCCTGAGTCAGCATATCATGGAAAAATCCAAACACAAACAACTTTTCCTAAGACACAAAAATACCTCACTCCTGGGTTTAAACATTAWCCTTTTTAATAGTAAGACGAAGATGCAATCTATGATCTCAAATGTCAATATGTGGTCTGAGACAGGTTATTAAGTTGGGCTGTGGGAAAATTGTGACTTACGGGTGATATTTATGTAAGTGCATGTTTCTTTAAAGTTAACCCCCTTTTAATGCCCAGTCTTTTCAAGTTATCTTTAAACTCACACACTAAGCAAACACACCGTTCGCCGTTTAAACGCAGACGGAATCGAGTGAGCAAAGTCGGAGCCTGCTGCTACAGTGTGTTTGATGAGTGGATCTGACCTTCTGATAAAAAACCACCTGAGCAGGTCTGGACTTGGACAGAGAGGATATGAAGTGGTGAGATAGTGCAGATGCTTTTGCATGGGGGAAAGAAAAAAAACAGAAAGGAACTAGTGGAATGCAATGCCATCAATCTTTGAGTGAACTCTTATCTGGCCTAATGACTGACAACTTTGTGAAAACTTGCCAACATTCCTTAAAGGATGTGAACAGCAGCTGACATGTTTCGACTGCAACTTTCCCAGAATTATGATGATGATGATGATGAAGAAGAAGAAGAAGGATGTACATGCTGGTCAGGAAGGAAAATTCTTTCCTGCAACATAAAACAAAACAAAGAGAAATAAAAATGTAAACTCCTTCATATTTTTTGGCAAGTTTTCCCTCATTTCTCTGGCTCAGTCATACAGGAACTCCACATTAAACTGAAACGATAAACTGAACTGTTGTGTTGTTTAAATAATCGTACTCTTAAGCGTGAGAAAAGACAAACACACACACAACAAACAAACAGTATAGATTTTCCTGACTTGCACACACATTTAAACATAAACAGACAGCACATATTTTAATCTCAAATGTCAGTCAAATGGATTCTTCATGTTCTTATTTAAACAGCAACCAAGAGGTGCCAAAGAATTGTTAACATCAGGTTTCAGTGAGAATTATTTACACTTACAGAACCCCTAAAGCATGTTCTGCAGCTCCAGCATGCTCCAGTGTGTGCTCCACTTCCTGGAAAATGAATTCTCTGAATTAGTGTGTGTGTGTGTGTGTGTGTGTGTGTGGGGGGGGCTAACTGCTACACAAATTCACTCACAGTTACTCACAGGAACATTGTCACATGTATGATGTCATGTGATGTCTGCTGCACCTCTAATGGGTGTGATACTTAGTAAATGTGTGAACAAGGTAGAATGTGACAAATGTGGCAGGAGTCAATTGATTCTATTATGATTCTTTTTTTTTTTTTTTAGATTTAAACATTTCAGTGTTTCCTAGTTCCTACCGTGGAACATAGTTCAATAGAACACATGGACTTAAAAAAACTTTTGTATCTCTCTAGAGAGGCTGGCTGACTGGATCTATTGAAGCCTACAATTTGTATAGCTGAACAACAACACCTAGTGGTTTATTAATGCATTTGAATATCAGCACTCTTTTATACTTGGTAAAAAAATTTTTATACAAACTGTGGTATATTTAGATATGCTTTGATTAATTCCTTCTAAAAACTTCATAAAGCTAAATTGCACATATTCCGTATATATA